GACAGTTTCATGACTATCTGCTTCCACTAGGAAATGACTAACCTAAGATGGCTGCCTCCAGGCACCATTACACAAAATGGCTGCCAAAAAAACTGGGCCTAATTCCTGAGCTTTTTCCTGGTCTAAAGGTAGGCAATTCATCACACCCACCTCATCCCTCCCTTGCATCGCTGGGGAGGGAAAGCATGAGATTTTTAAACTTTTTAGGCTTTACCGAAGTTGCTTAAACGTTGTGAAAATTAAAATAACCTTTGGAGACATCCAAACATTATGGAATGTTTCCAGGGGGGGAAAAGGTTAGTTGTTCAAATTCGTATCCCCACCATCACCACCCTTCCTGCATGGTTCAAAACTGCTTCGAAAGTCAAAAGTCAGAAGTTTTTTTATGACTTTCAGGCTCTTCCAAACGAACTCTACAAATTATGTGTGTGCACGACTCCTGTGATTATAAAAACAATGACAGTTTCTCAATGACAGCAGCAGACAGTTGTGGTCATATGAAGTTTTCTGGGCCACCAATGTCATTCACTACTAAGGATTGCAGCATTTGATCTGAATCCCTCGCCTCGATGCCTCCCCAAATCAAACACTGAGATTTTCTCTTGCTCTTCCATCCAAAGTGTGCTGTAGTCTGACTTAATTTTATGTAGATAGGCTTACATTCTGAAACCAATGCATTTTTTTAAAATTGGAGTCAAATTAACACATGCTTAAAGATGTTGGGACCTAGCATGGGGCTGCTCAAATTAAAAAGGTATATTTTGTTTCTAAGGAAAGTTGTTTGCAAAATCTTTTGTCAAATCATCAGCAAGGTTTCAGCATCATTCCACTGGATTCATTTTGCTGGCAAGGTAAAGGCTGGCAGCAAAAGCTAAGGTTTACATTTTGCAAATGTCAACCTTACATAACGTGTCAAATCTTTGGCCACATTCCAGGGTTGTACTTTGAGAATTATATTTCATCACCTCTGGTAGTCCAAAGGACAATTTTATGGAAATTGTACATTTAAGAGTATCATTTGATTAAATATTTTGGGTAGAGACTTGCCATGTTATGGACCTTCTCCTGAAGAAAAAACAGCAGTAAAATTGCAAATGAAATCCTCCCCCTCCCTTTATTTTTAATGAAAAACTTAGGCATATAAAACATTCGTGAACATAGTCCTTTTAAACTATGTTTAACTAAAACATTATAGATATTATGGAATGAGAATAACAGGCATTGGATTCCATTTCCTTGCTTAAGATGAAAAAGAGTCTATAAGGTTCATTGCTATACTGAAAGCTTTGAACATCATGACTATTTCTTTATTTGGAGGTTACCATTTGATTTCTATATTAAATGGAAATTGGCAATTAGTCTGTGGGTGGAACAAGAGGATAACAAGAGAATAAAAAAATTAAGCAGGCAAAGTTTGAAAGAAATGAAAAGAATTGAAAGAAAATCCCAAACTTGAAAGACTTCCACACTACTTTTGAGAGTATGAAACAGCTTTCAGTTTGTCAGAAACATGTTTGATAGAACTAGAATTTCAAACATCTACCGTGCTTTTATATTCTAGAGCAATGCCTCCTTTTTTATTTTGCTAACAAAAGTGCTTGTTTCTTTTATTTTGCCTCTGACTAATGTTATCTCTTTGAATAGACAGACTGGCATATGGAATTTCTACCAGCTGTGCCTTTTCCTCTGTACTAAAAAAATGCTTCTTATAAGTAGAAGATTATAATAATTATGCATTAATTTAGCACTTTGAATTGATACTTTGGTGATATAATAAACGTGTCTGTAGGATGGGATTGCAGTATTCAATTTTCCTTCTTCCTCCTTCCCCTCCAAAAGAATTCAAGATCTGTTCTCTCTTTAGTAGAGTTTGATCAGTAGTGGCATTCATGCAATAATGGTACAAATTGAGCTGAATGTGACTAGAATTATCAGCTGAACTTGCTCAGTCTTCTTTCTTGTATTCCCAAACCCTGCTTGTGAACATTGATTAAACGAATGATAAGGTCCATGATAGATCAATTTTTCACATTTTTAATTTAGGAGGTAAAACATTCTATCACTGCCATGGTTGAGAATTATGGCTGAGATAATAGAGGTCTGACTCTAGTTGAAGTTAAAAAGGAAAAAGTTGTCCCTCAAATGTCAAGGCACCTCGTGATCTAAGATGATTAAAACTAAACTGTTTGCAATATGAATCCCAAGGTGCTTCTATATCTCAGCTGCCATGACATTTAGCCAGTGACTTTTCATAGCTTGTTAATAATGTATAGCCATCCCAATATAAATTCACAGTGATAGAACTGGCCTGTTAGAATGAAGTAGTTAACAAGATTTATTCTATCCAGAAAATGCAGATTTGAATGAGGGGTGGGCAGAGGAATCAGGACGAATGTCAAAAGAACTTTTCAGTAGACTGTCTTACATCATTCGAACTCAAGAGCAACTTTTTTCGTTCTGATTTATGATTCTTTTCAGACCCCTAATTTGCAGGAAGAAATATTCTTCCAACTCTTTTTTTAATTAATGAGCTATAGTATGCATTTTGGATGCATTATGAATCCCAAACAACTTAATAACCTGTACCAATCCAATCATCAATACTGTTAATCAAAACTGAGTCCTGTAAATGGAAAACAAGGGCTGCCTTGGTAGGCAAAACTGATGTTAATGAGTATTCCTGAATAAAACTTGCAAATGGCTTGCAAGTCTGAAGCCAGATTTCAAGATTGTCGCCTTCAACCTGACAGGTGTACAAATTATTCATAAACTGTGAAATGTCAGCAGACAGATGAAAAGAGATGAGAAGAGGGTATAGGTGAGAAACAGAGACAAAGAACAATGGGTTATAACAGGATAAGGATTAGAATTGGAAGGGGGAGAAAGACAGTTTGACATTTGGGGAGTAGCAAGTCCAGGATGGAAGGAATTATTTAACCAGAAGACGCAAAAGTTTTGTTGAGGACCTCTGCTTACATGAACAAGTTAACTTAGAGGTGAGACAGTTTTTCTTTGCTTTCACCTATAGCCTCATTTATGGGTAGAAGTTGGGGGAATGATTACAGGCAGTCCGCAAGTTACAAACATCTGACATACAAACAACTCATTGTTAAGAATGGGGGTGAGACAACAGGAAGTGAGAAAAATTTACCCCCAAGAAAGGAATTCACTCCTGAAAGAATTGTCATGGGAAAAAGGTGACTTAACTGAATCTTTATTTCCAATCCTTGTTTCCACAACAAGCCAAATTTCACAAAATCCAATTACCTTAAAGACAGAAAGTGAGGTGAAATCTTCTGAACAGGGCACAGATATGAAGACAAACACCATAGGGGTGTTAATCCTTCCCTATGTTATCCAGAACTCCAGTCAAATATATATGCAGCATATATTATATAATTTGTGTGGAGTTATATAAAGAAGTGAATCACACTTTCTTCACAATTGATCAATTAAAATAATACTCAAATCAAGGATACAACTCTTCCCATGGGGTGGGGGGTGAAGGAGGAAGGAGGGGAGAAAAACTATTGGGCACAAATGGACAATAACTGTAAGGTTAAGAAAATAGGACATATCAAATTGTGAGAAATTACAAGTGGAATATCACTATTTGTTTGGTCTATTTAACCTTGCAGAATTGTTATTGAGATTTGTATCACTCTACAATAATAATTTTAACAATGGGAAAAATATTGGATGGAGTTACACTTAAAATGTACCTGTTCTGACTTTACATACAAATTCAACTTAAGAACAAACCTACAGAACCTATCTTGTTTGGAAATTGTGGACGGCCTATATTATTACTCGTCTGCAAGAGCTAAAGGCTTCAGGCTTGTTATCGTCATTGGATGTGGAAACAAAGGTTATAAACATATATTAAGAAAAAAGCTTGGGTAAAAAAGAAGACAGTCTGGTCTATCCAAACCAATGTCACTATTTAACCTGTTATTTTATGGATCTTCATCTTGGTATCACTCTTCTGACTATTTTGACTGTCAAACATGTTGATGTCCTATAAGTGTGTGTTTTCATTTATTCATATTAGTATCATTACACTTACAGGCAGTGCAGCTGCTATTTTGACATTGCATCCAGTATCATTTCTAGTAAACATTATTTGAAGAAACATAACCACCTCTTATCCTGAGTACCAGACACTGCCTTTTGAGTCTTCAATGGAAGTAGGAAATACTGTGGTTTTATCCAAATTAATTCAAACAGAAAGATAAGAGTGTTATCGATGATATATCTGGGCAAGCTAATAGAAGATTTCTCCAAGGGTTCCATATAAACATTACGCATTATGGATGAAATAATGCAATTTTGTGAGAGCTCATGAGTTGTATAACAGGGAAAAAAGCATTAATCATTTGGAAATAATCACTTTATACTTCCTACCTTGAATTCTTAAAGGTCTTGATAACTGACTGTATCAAAGCTGATGAGACAAAAACCCATGGAATCAATATAAAAGCATACATTGAAATCCAGTGGTAGATTATGTAACTTTAGTATGCCTAACTGTATAGCAGAGGGACTAAGAAATCTGCTATGGCATTATGAAGATGTATAATGTGACACCAGCAAGAGTACCTAATGTGCATTTGTGCCCAATGAGCATTGGGTACTTTCCTGTCATTATTAAGTATAAATGTACCAGTATTATGGACTGGATATGGATGTTATACAACTATGCAATGCTGATTTCCACATCTATAAATCCATTTACTGAGATTCCTGAAACAATTCTGGCTATCATATCAAGCGACAGCTCTCTATGAATAAACCAAGACAGCTTTCCTGACCACACAATCTAAATATATTGGACTGTAACTTCAATCATTCCCAGACACCATGAACAATAGGTTACATGAACATGTCTGTGGGACTCTGAACTAGACAACAGCAAGTTGGATAATGTCAGTGACATTTTTATTCCTGCATAATATTATTCTAATATACTGTACTAAAGTGTGTAATAATTATATCTCTAGGTGCCCAGATGGCTTTTCTGGACATTTTTGTGAAATAGACATCAATGAATGCAGCTCTTCACCTTGCTTACATGACTCAATCTGTGAAGATCTTATTAATGGCTTCTTCTGCAGATGCCAAAGAGGTAATTGTTGGATTTTTTTAAATAAAAGTATGATACTTTAATACTGACAGATTCTAACTATGGATGGCATTCTTTACCAGGCTAATAAAGGACATACTGGAAATTAAACTGTGCGGTTACTATTTTCTGTAAACAGAAAGCAATTTATCAGTTAATTACTTTTCACTTGCTTCAAGAATTATTTTTAGGTATAAACAAATACAAACTCTTTATTATTATTTTTAAAATGCCCTACAAAGCAGAAAGATAGTTGGGACTGGAAGCAACTGAATGCACTTAAAGATTGTCTAGAATCCAAAGATAAAATCAGTAGTTTTAATTAGCATTTTAAAGTGTTTAATTTTGCCATGTGTGGGACAGAATGATTAAATATTACTGCAAAATAAATCTGTAGAACAAATTGTTTTCATTTTGAAGTAGGCCCATTCTTGGAACTGAGTTGGCAATGAATGGATTTGGCTTAAGTTGCAATTTGGCTTTCAGACTTGACATCACATTCAGATGGGAAATAAAAAATTGGATCCCAGATTTAGGGCAGGATTTCAAGATGGATCTCCTTGGATAGAACAGTAGAACCAAGCAGATATGGGTAGTGGGGAAGGATAGGAGCAATGTCTCCTTCCCACTGGTTATCCTCCGAGCTCAGAAGGGCTGGGAAACTCCTCTGAGTTCACTTTCTGGCAACTTTAAGGACTACAGTGGATGGTGGAAAAAGTCCTGTTTCACTAGTGCTGAAAAACTAGTTTGCCAGTGTTCACGCCTTAAACAGTGAGGTTTAGGTCTATATCAATGCTAAAAATACACTCAATAAAATCTATGGAATTAAAGATTCCTCTGAAACAAAGAACTGGGGTAAAGTTTGGTATAGCTGCCCATTCTATTTAACCCCTGTTGACTTTCTTTCTGGTATTGTATTTATCTATTATCCATAAGTAATTACATTAAATTTGGGTTCTATGAAGCCAAAGGTCAAGTTCTATGGACTTAAGTTGGTGATTAATCCCATCTTGGTTCTCTCAAACCAAAGGTCAGTGATGAACCCCCAACTTAGTTCTCTGGGACTAAAGAGCAGTGGTGAATCCCCTCCTGATTTCCCTCCCTAATTCCATCTGGAAAGAAAGACAAAATATAAATGCAATACACAAATGAATGAATGAATGAATGAATGAATGAATGAACGAATGATGTGCACATTCTTTTTTCTCTCTCATGCTGGCAGGTTGGGAAGGCTTCCATTGTGAAGACGACATCAATGAATGTGCCTCTAATCCCTGCATACATGGGATTTGTACCCAGAAAGAACCAGGCTTGGGTTATACCTGTTACTGTGACCCTGGATTTGTGGTATGTTGCTATGTTCCTACTAATCCCTTTGTCATGTCTGAATTTTTCCTTGCTAGTAACTAGTTTCTAATGAATTCCAAATGTTTCCACAAGTAGAGTATTTCTCTCTACTGTGATGATCGTTCCCATTATATATTGACATTGTTGTTCTCATTGATATCTTAGAAGCAGCTTCAATGTGTGCTGTGTGCAGATATCAGTATCCATCATCACTCCAGTGCTAGAACAAACATCAGCTTTTCTTAGCTCCCACAAATAAGAAATCATAAAAGTAATGAACTGAGTTATAAAACTCTGACCTAAGTTACCTTTTTGGGCTCTCCAAAAGTGACAAATCTCTTCAAAAGTGATCATAATACAAAGCAGACCATAGCTAACACCTTGTGTAGAATATGATCTCACGGGTTCCAACCAAAACAGTTTATAATCTGGTGAGCTGGAAAAACCCTAAAAGCTGATTTAACACCACAGTTCCTAATTCTACTCTTTTGCCACTGGTCAACAAACCAGGAGCACACAATGCATTCAAACTAGCTAGCCTAGTTAAAGTTGTACAATGTGCTACATAGAAAAAAACCCCCAAATTAACAGCCATAACTTTACATAACGGCAGATGGTGAATTAATATCAACCCCTCTGTATCATTCTAAGGAGGAAACCCATGAAGAGACTAATGAAGCTACCATATAAAACTAAAATACCTACTACATATACTCATGGATAAATTCAGAAATTTTAGGCAAAAGTTGACTCCCAAATCCTGAGTTAACATATCTATAGGTCAATGTAAACACTGTACCTTAACTCTTTTAAAAAAATCACTTCTCTGATTAGAGTAGTGAAAATTGAGAGCTTAAACAATTTTGGGAAAACTAAAAGATGCACCAATCTCTCTCTATTCTCATTTATCTAGTGCCATCTCTAATCTTGTTGGATGCCTAAGTGGGAAAATAGTAAGGGCAATGGCCAATGGGGACTGACACTTTTACCTATCTGTGGAATGGATCCTCACATGCTTAGTCCACTTGCACCTGATTTGCTCCCTCTCACATATTGGGTATCTTTGTCATCAACAAAATCAATATCATCATCAAAACCATCATTATTATTGTCATCCATTTGTAATTATACCCCATCTTTTTCTCAAGGTTAGCAGTTGAGGCTACATTCAAATTAAAATGATTGCAATATACAGTTAAATGTGTGTGTGTGTATAAAAGTCAGTTAAAGGGGCATTAAAGTATTACAAATATTAAATCAATCGAAAACATGCACCTAAGCTTGAGGACAGGAATTGTCAAATTAACTATTTATAAGCCATTCTGGGATATTTTTGGACTGAAGAATGGAATATAAACACTACAAATAAACAAATACCAGTTGAAAGTACTAGTTGCATGCTTGGTTTTATCAGCTATCTTGGTCTTCAAAAATAAATGACTTCTATTGCTATTATTAATGTATTGTTTTCCACTACTGGTTTTATTGCATGGATGATTTTGTAATTATAAACTGCTCTGAGGTTTTCTTAAATGGAAAGTAGGATAGTATGTTCTCAAAGAAGCAAACAGGTTATGTATCAAAAAGAAGCATTCTAGCCTACCCCAAATCCCAAATCTATGTGTCAGAATGTGTGTGTGTCCATGTCCGCATGTGTTTTTAAAAAATGTACTTAAGGCATGTGAATTTTGCCACAAAAGGCCTCACCTGCTGTCTTGAAGTAGTACAGCATAGGAGCAAATGTATCCACGGCCTTATTGTTTCTAAGAAAAGGGGGTTCAATGTAATTATTTCTTGCCAGGCGTATATTACTGGGTGTTCTTTCCTACTTGCCAAAGCCAAGTTTTCTCATTTTAACTATGGGAATACTTTTGTGTATTTCTTTAAGGCATTCTTACTGGTGAGCATTAATGTGATTTTTTTTTGTATTGTCGAAGGCTTTCATTGCCGGAATCACTGTGCTGTTGTAGGTTTTTTTGGGCTATATGGCCATGTTCTAGAAGCATTCTCTCCTGACATTTTGCCTGCATCTATGGCAGGCAAAACGTCAGGAGAGAATGTTTTGAAACATGGCAATATAGCCCGAAAAACCTACAACAACCCATGTTTTTTCCCCTTTCACATTGTTCTGAGCCTTGATGATAGCAATAATATTATACATTTCAATTCAGACACTGATAGAAAATAATTTATTTGCCAAGACATTATCACATTTATAACACATTTACTTGCATAAAGGCCATGCATCTGAAGCTTCAAACAATATTCATATATCTATGTCTGCACAGGTTGATATAGGTGTGAAATGTAGAGATGGGATTTGGTTTCAGTTTAATTTCCATCATGAAATGATGATATTAGACATGGGCATATGGAGAAATAAAGGGACATTTATTGACTTACTTTAACTGTAGGCAACTAAATAGTTTGTGTGGGGAGCGATGCGACATGGGTATTGGCATATGGTCATGTATCACTTTCTGACTACCTGCTCAGTCAACCTCTGGGGAAAACACATGACTGTGAGGTTGCACCTTAGTGATGTTTGTTATCCCTGGCCCATCATTATTGGAAGACCATCCCAAGGATACTCCTTTCTGAGTCCCAGTACCCTGTAAGAGAGAGCTAACTACCCTCCCAGTCTAGCCCCAAGGGGAGATCTTTAGAGATGCCCCCCCCCCAAAAAAAAAGACTCCAAGGCTCTCACCAATCTACTCAGAGATAGGTTTTTTTTTTAGAAAAAAAAGAATTAAGGTACAACATTCCATTTTGGCTAAGCATTCCAACCATGGATAAGCTGACTTATTTGACTGAAATTCTAGGTACTGCCTGGATCTCAAAATTACTATGGAAAATGGAGGTATTTTAATTTTATTTATTTATTTATTTGAAAAGCATAACAATTTTGGTTTCTACATTCCTGAGTAAATCCTATTGTTTGTTCCAACTACAGCAAAGCAAAACTAAATCAGTGGTGTTTAATGTACGGAATCACTATTCATCAATACATTTGATGGGAGTACTCTAGTTGGGACTAACCAAGAGGATTCTCTGTGTGTGCGCATGTGTATGTATGTATGTGTACACACACACACACACACACACACTGAAGAGCAATACCATAACCTCCAACTTACTCTGTCATCCCACAATTTCTTTTTAAATGTCCCATTTTATCTTTCCTCTTTCCTCTTTCCACCTTCCTCTTTTGTCCTCAACTTGCTTCAGTTGCTGCAAACTGTGTTCAAAGTATAATGTCATACTAGTATAGCTCAGCAGTGGGGAAAGGATGGATTTTTGTCTTTCCCGGTAGGCTCAGGCAAAAACAAATCATTGCAGCTTTTCTAGCTTAAGTGGTCTTCCTCATTAATAACTTTTCCCTTTTCAACCTCACTCTCATATTGTTTAGCCACATGTATCCCATTTTTTATCTATGAAATCTGGAAGACTGTGCAATTCTAATGGCAAATATGCAGCTACCTAGAGATGCAGATACAGCACAGTTCTTGCTTTTCTAAGAGCTAGCTACCATTTTACTGTGTTAGTACCTGTTTTGTAAGGCTATGGTGGCAACAGGCTACATAAATCAATTAATAGTGTGGAAATCACTGTGCACTTGGAGCCAGTGCAATGTAAAGTAATTACAACATCAGAACAAATTCTTTGTTTGCATCCCTCTATATTCTTTTAATTTAATCTCTAAGGAGCATATTGTTACATTGCAAAGCGGCGGATGATTTAGGAACAGAGCTATTCCCAGGGCACAACATGTTGCAGGGACTATGGGATGGAATCTTTATTCTAACATTAATAGTTGTTCTTTGAAGTGATGGGAAGTCAAAATGTCATGATTAAATTACAGTTTAAAAGCCTAGATCTATGCCATGAAATCAGTAAAGGCAAAATGCTCAGTCAGATCCGATTAATTTTGGTAAGCGCAGCTTCCCCAATTTAAATAGGCAACATCTGAGGGTGGTGTGGGGGGATGAAAGAGAGCTATAACGTGAACCATTTAATGTTGATATAAAATTGAAAATGGCCTTCAAAATGATTTTTTTAAAAAATCCCTTATAGGGCCAAAGCTGTGAGCTTAATTATGATGACTGCTTAATGCAAACCTGCCCAGTTGGATATCATTGTGTGGATGGAATAAACAATATCACCTGCTTTCCTGATGCCCCTTGGAGGCCCCAGGCCACAATGAAAATGGATAGAGAGCCCTCTGCTGAGCCATTAAAAGGAGGCTTCACCCAAGGCCAGTCAAGCCTCATAATACCTGAGATGTCTCCATCACAGACTTCTGCAGGTCAGTGCCAAAAACTCGATTGATTGGATGTGAAACTCTTTTAACCTGTGTGCATTTGTTGCAAATTTTCTGTTGCATGGGAATGCCATTTGTATTCTCTATTCCTTTTGGATTCTTTTATCAAACTATAATTTCTTTCCAGGTTTGCAGTTTGCCTTTCTTTTACTATCCATCTGTCCTGCATGCCATTTTCATTTGAACTGAATGCTTGTTGCGAGGACAATATTCTTTCTCTATCCCTTGGCCTCGTTTGTGTAGGGAATTGCATCCTTCCATAACTTACTGAATTTCTCATTTGGGTTGACTGGTATGTGCAATTTCATAGGCTTCACAATATGTCACTGCCCCCACTGTTGGCACAACTCTCTTGTGATTAGGAGGCAGATAATTTTGCTTTGCTCATGAGAACCCTGGATTTCTTCTCTTCAGTCATATCTTTTCTTGTCTATATCTTTTCCCATCCTCTCCGTGTTTTTATACTCGTATATACACATGCTTGGAACAAGCTCCTCTGTTCTCTTCCCTTCCTCATTTCTTTGTATCTGGGATTCAGAGAACCCGTCAGCACAGGAAGTTGGAACCATTAAAAATAGAAGAGTGCCATAAATACAGTGGCCTATTTTGAGTTCCATATATCTGAGTGCCGTCATTTAGCGACAACTACTCTAAACATGTACCATTATACACTGAACTTAAGAGTGCATGTTTTATGGTCTCTATTGGCTAATTCTTTTTGTCCTTCCCCTCCTTGTTTTTAAAGCTACATAATATTTCTTCTTGACATAGATAAGCAAAGTGAATGTGACCCAATTAGTTAATATAATTATCTTTGTAACTTTTCCAGATCATGTCAGCCTTTCAAGTTCTTGATAGCATAGATCTGTAATTTATTCTTTTTTGTATTGATTCTCAGAAACAATTTGATTTAGCCAATTTAATACATCTCTTCCAAGCAACGCTATTTGTTCTGGATACAGGCCTCGCAATGTGAATAATGTGAGAGTTTGCATTTAGTCAGCTCTTGAGGTCACTAAAATCTTTTTTACACTTTTATTAAGAATATGATTTACGGAGTTGTATTTGTCTGCTGTGGGATGCCTGGGTGAGAATTAATGGTTTTCAGGTAGCAATGCAATTTGCTGCTGATCCAGCCTAGGGCCAACGTTGTTCATTTTTTATTTCCTTCTAACTTTCCCCCCCTTATTTTTTAATCCTCTAAAGGTCTTCAAAAGACAAGCTTTCTCAACCATGGGAATTTTTCAACCATCAGTATGGCTAAATTAATGTCCAGCATATCATTTGAAAGCTTTGTACTGGGACCATTGACTGCTGATAGCAAGTCTTCAGCATCAGTTTTGCTTACTTCCTCCACAGACATTCTCACTTCCCAGCTGTTGGGGTATATAGGCCTATCTTCAAGAGGAACAAAATTCGACATAACAGCTGTGGCAGAGGTGATGATTGATAGTTCACCAGATGCAACACTAGTCATGCACTCAGAAGATAAGTATGATGGGATCTCATTCATCATAAAGTCCTTAATGACAGTTCCTCTTCCCTCGTCGCAAAGAGGTTTGTCAGTAGCAAACCATGAGATTCTTACTTTACCTGCCATAGACACAAGCTCAGCAATTAGCAACATGCCAGAAACCAAGACTGAATCAAATAGTTACTCATTATTTTCTCCTGGATCTCAGCTGGCCACTCCAGCAATTGTGCACTCAACTCTTTCGATACTTTTCTTACCTCGTGAGATCACTAGACAGCAATTAGCTATTTCTATAACGTCAGAACGTGAGGACTGGGTTTTATTAAAGCCATCAATGACATTTATTTTCCCCTCAGAAAAAACTGACTTAGAAAAGGTAGACTGCTTTAGCTCATCAGTGATACAGGGATCCAAAAGACAAATATCCCTTCCCAATGAATATTTAGATATTAGTATGTCATCTCTCAGCCATGAGATCACAGAGCTCCTCACACTGTCTACTTGTTCTTTAAGCAATTTAAATCAAACATGTATGAAGGACTCCATAGTTGATATAAAATTCTTGGATGAATCTTCAGATCACGTTTTACATAGCAAAGAATCCCTATTTTATCAGGCATCCTGGGTGTACTTGACAATGCTAACCAGTTGGTATACATTAATAAAATCTACTGCTGTTACTTCTGGGTATTCATTTGTTTCAACTTCTGAAACAGCACCATCAATGAAGTTCAAAAAAGTATCTTCTTGGTATCCTGCTGAAAGAGGCAGAGATAAATCCAGGCTGGAAGAATATGTTAAGACTACACCCTTACAGGGACTAAACACTGGTTTCTCATGTATTTATTCAGACTGTATAGCAACTGTTCTTTCAGAAACCTTCCATTTGGAGCCATCCTTTTCAACAATCAAAACCTCTCAAGGAGGAAACAGTTATGTGACAAGGAAATTAATTGATGTAGAAAAGCTGACTTCAATGCATATTCTACCAACACTGAACAACCCACTATATGATCCAATTAAGGAAATGCAGCCATTAATGAGTCAAGAGGATACAATCTTTGTTTTCCAATCAAGTGAAGCTCCTAGAGAAGAAAATGACAGCCATGTTGCATGTCATTCTGATGAGTACACAGCACATATGCCGATCCGTTCTGAAGGAAGAGTTGATTTGCATCTCAGGCATGCAGGCATTACACAGACAGGCCCAGTGGCTGATTTTCTTGACAGGCATTCATTATGTGAATTTTCGGTTGATAGGATATCTGATTCAGTATTATCTGACCAGCTACACTCCGTACAAACACATTATGTGAAAATTTCCATGCCACAGTACTTATTAACTCCAGATGAAAACTGGGTTGCCTTAACCATGGACAGTACATTGCAACACCATCTGAGTACTCATGCCACTAATGAAGCAAGTCCACAGTCCCATAGTATACTGGCTTCCACTGTTATCTCTTACCAGTTCACAATGTCTGGTGAGTTACTTTTTTTTCCTTCTAAGCTCTTCTTCAGAAGATATTCTGATGCTTCCTGAAGTTTTATGTCTTTCTGTTTGATTGAGTGAGTAATGCAGAAGTGAACACAATGCATGTCTGTTTGATTGACCATTTCACATTTATAAAAATGGAATTCAAGGTAATAGGTACGATGTGAAAACTGATAAGGTAACTCATATTTTAAATGTAAGAAATAGTTGTGTTTTGAAGAAGTATTACTACTCAAGTCTACTTCTCATAAAGAGTTGTTGAGGTTACACGCCTGTGCCTGGAGGGTACTGCTTCATACTGTATGTTGGGGTTTGTAAGATCCCCAATACATAAGTAACCATTTAAGGAAAAACCAGTCTTCCCCAACTTTTCCCTCGCAGTATATTAGTTTTCTAGGTGATGATGTCCACAACATGCAAAGAGGAGAGTGTGTTAGGCTTACCTACCTCTGTAATACAGTAAATAAAATTTTTATTTATATCCTGCCCTATCTCCCCAAGGGAACTTAAGGTGGTTTTCAATCCAAAAAAGGCAAACATTCAATGCTGTAATTAACTAAACAAAAACAAATAGACAACCCAACTGAAACCCAGAAATAAGTCCACATCTATAACAAAGTGATATTAGATTATAACACTTTCTGTTGCCACTTTTCTCACAAAGAGAATGAAAGTGTGAATAGGACAGTGACTTATATTTGTGTTTTATCTCTATACAATCAACAATCCTTATTTTTAAAGATTTCTGGTCATGTGGGGAGCTTACATGCAACCGAGAGGATCAGTAACTCAGACGACCATTCACTACATGAGAAGAAACATATCAGATAGGGCCAGAGAGAGAGTGCAACCCATCTCACATGCTGATTTTAAATCCTTTTATGAATACCCAAATAGAGCTGTAGAGAAATGAAAAGTAGAACCATACAGAAAACGTAATAATCCTATGATTTAGACCACATTCTTTATTGAATGGCCAGATTAATTGTTGTACAGACCAAATGATGATAAATAACAACAGTAAAGAGGTCCTGTTATAAACAATTAAGTATCCTTTTGAATGTATACATATTTTGCCTATATTTACAGAAAGTGTCTGCAATTTTCCATTTAATGAATTCAGTACTGGATCTTTAAGTTTGGCTGTGAATTCTGCTTCTCCATACAGCTTGAGTCCATATACATACATGTATATACATCAATCCATCCAAGCACATGTACTATTTTCAAGCACAATGTTGGCATTCCTGCAAAGCAAAACGAAGTGAAGCAAAGCAAAGTGAAGCAAAACAAAACTTCTGCATTGTTCAGCCAAGCTCTTTTTGTTGCACGAGACATATTGCATTGTGCCATACATAATCTCATTACGTGTATCAAAACTGGGCCCAACAAACATTATTGTATTACAGTTCCCATTCTCCCTCACCCATGGCCACTCAGAATTTTACTCATGGGAATTGCCATTCATCATCTGAAGGGTTAGCATTGAGAGCAGATGTGTTCAGTATGGTATGGTACATTAAGTGACTACATTGTTCTACTGCAATTCTGGGAATCCCTGAAGCATTTGTTGAATCAAACATTTAAGCAAACCTGTTTATAATATAAAACAAATTCTGTGTTGGATTCAGACTTGGTGTTCTCTCTTGTTGTTTGGTTCAGTGAAAGATCCAGTTCCAACATCCAGAGGCTTCTGTAAGAGGAAAGTAAAGAAGTCTATTTTTGTCAATGTCCCCTTTTGTCTGCCACCAGAGCAGATTTTCATCATCATAGAGAACTGAAAATGGATAGGTCAGAGGGCAAGGAAGAATAGCATCATGAAACCTTCTATGCAGGTGCTTCTAATCTGCAGAATTGTCTAGTCCATAAAGCTGAATGGCAAAAACTATATCTATGCTATTATTAATAGTTTCATAAATATTATCTTATCTATAATCTGCTTACAATTTGCATTTTCTATCATGTTTTATCCTCCTTTTTTCTCTAAACAAAGAAAGAAGTAACACCCTCCATCCACTTCTTTCAGAATTGTTTCCTATCTAGCAGGGATTACACATCATCGTTTTATTTCATTTTTCATGTACCCATAATATATTTAAAATATTCTAAGCTGAGGTTTATAAGAGATGTTCAGTGACACCTTTGCCTTCTAATACAGGTTTATCACATGTATTTTAGTCATCTGCTTTCAGTAGAACTGCTATCATGCTCTTTAGTACTTTAAGCCTTGTCTTTATCAATGCCGCCAGATATGTCATTATTATTCATCTCCTAGTATTTCATTTCATTTCCAGGAGCCTTGGTCATGTGCTTATTTTAAAGCAGGTCTTGTTAACACTGTTTCATTGGCATTTAAATCTGTTAATTGACAGAATCGGGAGGCAGCGTTTACCTGTACAAGTGAGCTCTCTCTGAGCTTGACTTGGACTTCTGGATTTCATCTTTGTAAGTCAGATTGTGACCTAAATGCAATAGGTTTACAGGCCCCACTTGAAGCAGTCAACCTCCTCAGTGATATAGTGAACAGCTGTCACAGCAAAGAATAAAGTGTTCACCTAGCATGCTTTTACTTTGATTTAGGGATGAACTGCAGCCCCAAAAGGCTTTTTGATGGGCTGTAACTTTGAAGCACACATCACACTTCTCTTTCTTCAACCCCAGTCTCTCTGTTTTACAAAGGAAGCATTTCTGGTAAACTAGCTGTCTTTCTTCATGTCTATGGTCATTATCACCAATAAAGTAAGTTTATTACATCAATCAGTACATTATAATATAATCACTACTCTTTTGCACAAAGATGGATGAACCCACACACATCTCCTACTTAGCTGAACTGTGTTTTTTCTACTGTGCAATCACAAAGAAATTCACAACTGAAGGGCAGAGAGATCTGGGATGGAGCCACAGCATCCATGTTGCTTAATGTCTAATTAGTCATGACTTTATGTTTGTTTATTTACTATTTCACATTGGAGAGAGAGGTGTTCTAGCAAGGATGCTCATGCCAGTATGGAACTGCTATTGGTGATTATATGGCTAACACGGAATAGTGGCTTCATGCAATAAAATCCCAAGCTCTTACATTTCACCACTCTAATCAGAGAAAAAATTCACCACTCTATTTGAGTAGAATTACGGAACATTACTTAGGATGTTTTCCCACCAGCTTTATAGAACAGAAGCTGTCATCTGCCAATCACTTGAGTTGCACCTGCAAAATTCTGGGAAATGTAATTCAGGGCCTTTACAATTCTCGTTTGAGAGGTCCTCAGCTTCCCTAAACTACATTTCCCAGAATTCTGCAGAGCAGATAGTACGATTGGCGGATTGCAACATCCATTCTATAAATTTGGTGGGAAAATGTCTAATCTGTGGATAAGTCAACTCAGGTCTTTGGGATAACCTCTTAAACTAAATTTCTAGATATATACATGAGTATATATAATGTGAATACAATTGTATTCTTCCATAAATGTAGATCATCTTCCCTTCATAACACAAGTAACATCCCATAATGTTCCTTTTTTATACTTCATTGAACAGAACAGAGACTGAAGCATTTCTAAATGGCATGACATCATAAAAATATTTCATTCACTACAGCTCAAGTATCTGTTCAAATATTTAAAGTGCTTGTTTGGATTATTTCTCTCTGTGTAAGTCTCTGGTGCTGAAGTGATATTAAATATTTCCCTCTATTCAAGGTTAATGAGAGAATTCTTCAACAATGCTCAGCTCCAACTCAGGCTGGTGATAAAAATATGTTATGTGAACTTGCAAAAAAGAGTGATTTGTGATTTTAATCACTGATTTAGCAAATGATCATGAATTGCTCCTAGTACCAAATGAGGCATTTTCTGACAACAAAAACTATGAAAAATAAAATGTCTAAACCTGATTTACCTTTATAAGTGCATCCCATCTCCTTTAAGGACTATATGTCCCATCTCATACCCACACACATCCATTCATTTGTTGATCAATTATATCTTCATTCATTCTTTCTCAGGTATTCCACACCTCTACCCCCTTATTCATATGTGCATATTACTTTGCATCACATTGTTCATCCTATATTATTTTTTAATTCTCACTCCTTCCTTCTCTCACACATGTACACTCCAGTTTTGACTTCCCCACTGTCTCATTCATTCATTTTCTCTCTTTCTCATGACATTCACAACCTGATCTTCCTCTTCCTTTTCCAATAGCATACATGAATCTCTTGCAAATCTCTTTCATGTTGACTTTATAACACAATTCCATACAGGTCTACTCAGATGTAGGTACCAAAGGGGCTTACTGGTTGAGGGAGAAATAGCTAGCTATAGTGCAATTCTGGGGGTTTAAGAGAGATGTTGACAAGCTGGAACATGTTCCTTATGAAAGGATGTCGTAAGGAAGAGAGAACAGGCTTGTTTTCTGCCATCCTGGGAGACTAGGACTTGGAGCAATGGGTTCAAATTACAGGAAAGAGATTCCATCTGAACCTTAGGAAGAACTTCCTGATCACAAGAAGTTGTTCAACTATGGAATTCATTGCCTCAGAATGTGATGGAGGCTCCTTCTTTGAAGACTTTAACCAGAGGTTGAATGACCATCTGTCAGGGATGCTTTGCTTGTCCTTTTCCTGCATTACAGGGGATTGGATTGGATGATCTGTGTGGTCTGTTCCAACTCAATGGTTCTATGATTCTATGTGAGTATAGATGTACAATATGTAACCATGAAATACAATAGTAGCCTAGGGCAGTGGTTCTCAACCCGTGGGCCCCAGATGTTTTAACCTTCAACTCCCAGAAATCCTAACAGCTGGTAAACTGGCTGGGATTTCTGGGAGTTGTAGGCAAAAACACCTGGGGACCCACAGGTTGAGAACCACTGGCCTAGGGAGTAGCTGGCATCCTGCTGAATAATTATGGTGTTGTAAGTCTGCTTTACTCTTTTACAATTCACTTTTATGATCATTGTGCAGATAACAAAGTTTCC